GTGCTAGCTAGCACTACTCGCACTATTAGTAGTAGCTGGCAAACTACGAGCACCAGTTCTACTAGTAGTAGCAGTTGTCGTACTCGTATCAGTACTCTTACCAGTAACAGTCGTACGATTAGTAATCGTAGAACTGGTAGTAGCATCAGGGCTATGACAATACTGAGGATGGTGATGCCGGTGGTGGTGGTTGACGACGATGACGGGTGACGAGGATGCTGATGCTGCTGCTGCTGATGACAGTGATGATGGCGGGAGGAATCTCCCTCACGCCGCACAGTGTAATACCTCACCCTTACGCCTCCCCCTGCCCTGGGAGGCGGCCCCGGGCGGCGGGCCGCGCGCGCCCGCCGAGGTCCAGAAGCAGGAGCCCGCGGGGCCTCCGCCCCCGCCGGGCTTCGACGAGCGGGCGCCTCAAAACCCCGCCTGGTTCGGGGGCAGCGTTGGGGGGGGGGATGGGCTCCCGGGGGAGCGTTTCGGGTTCGAGGTTCGAGGTTCGAGGTGTGAAATTCGACGAGGGGGGTAGGAGGAGGAGGAGGAGTAGGTGGAGGAGGAGGAGGAGGAGGATTTGAACGATTCAGACTAGTGACGCGCAGCACGCCACTTGCCACCAGCGACCCTAATTACCAGACGCTGCGGGTCGTCCCCGAGCCAGGCACAGTAGCGCAGGTTATGCTGTGTGCAGCCCTGAGGGTATCCGGAAATCGTAGCTGAAAACGTGTGCCTCCAGCCAGCCCCCAAGAGCAGTGCGGGCCCGCTCGCCATTTCGAACCACGGTCTCATCTCAGCACTGGTGTTGATGATGTCTGCTCCTGCGCTCTGCTTCTTCCACCTCCGCCCCGGACCCTGCCTTGCGGCAGGGGTCGCGGGTCGGGGCGGGCTCAGCCTTTACGCTCGGCCACCTCTCTCGCCCTTCTATCGCAGTGGCGGTGTGCACCACTACTGCCTGCCTTCTCGCACGAGCTGCTCCCAGCGCTGTAGCTGATGTTGCACTCACTGCCGCATTTCTCCCATGAGCTACGCCCAGCATTGTAGTTGATGTCTCTCTCCTAGCATTGTGGCTGATCTGTCGCTCCCAGCCTGCCTGGAGCTCGAGCTTTCGCCAGCATCTTTTTCCTATACGACCTACTTCAACGCTGTAGCTGATAAGTCGCTCACTGCCGCCCTTGTCTCACGAGCTGTTCCCAGCATTGTAGCTGATGTGTCGCCCGCTGCACGACATTGGGCCTCAGCTTTGCCTCCCGCCTCTCGCAGGATGGTGCCTGAGCCGCCTGCCGCCTTTCGCCATTCTCGCACGCCCTGATCTCAGCGCTGTAGTACAGATGAAATCGGGCTTGCACTTGGCCTTCCATCTCGCAGAGTAGCGACATAGACTGCGTCCACTGCTCGGCCTTGTCGCACGCACGCACGCACTGGTCCCGGCCCCACAGCTGATAGGGTTGGCCAGCGCGGGCTCTCACGCGGTTCGCTTGGGGAGGGAGGGATCGGCCCGCCAGCCACAGCCGCTCTTTGTCCGCACTCTTGCAGCCGGGCCCCTTTGGCTTTCTGCTCGCTGGGGTGACGAGGGGAGGAGGAGGAGGAGGAGGATTTTTTTTGTGCCTGCACGGCACCAAGCTGCCCTCTTACACCCAAGGCGGCGGGCGATTCCGCAAAGGGGCCTGTTCAAAAAAAGAGGAGGAGGAGGAGGAGGAACAGGAACAGGAACAGGAGGAGGTGGATGACGAGGGGGAGGAGGAAAAGGAGGAGGAAGAGGAGGAGGAGGAGCAGGAGGAGGAGCAGGAGGAGGAGGAGGAGGAGCCGGAGGAGGAGGAGGAGGAAGAGGAGGAGGAGAGAAGGAAGAGGAGGCGAAGGAGGCGAGGAGAAGGGAGAGGAGGGGAAGCAGGAATGAGGAGGAGGGGAGGAGGAGGGGGTGAGGAGGAGGTAGGAGAGGCGGAGGGGAGGAAGAGGAGGTGTGAGAGGAGGAGGGGCAGGAGGAGGAGAAGGAGGAGGAGGAGGAGACGAGGAGGAGAGGCGGAGGAGGGAGGACGAGGCCGGAGGAGGCGGAGGCGGAGGAGGAGAGGAGAGGAGGAGGAGGGCAGGGGGAGGAGGAAAATGAGATTGATGTAGTGATGATGGACGATGATGCTGATGATGACGATGATGGATCATGATGATGATGCTGATGATGATAACGTGATGCTAGATGACGACGATGTGATCATGCTGATGCTGATGATGATGATGATGATTATAATGATGATTATGATAACGTGCGTTGACGACGGGCGTTGATGATGGTGATGATTATGATGATGATGATGATGATGATGGTGATGATGTGGATGCTGCTGATGATGCTGATGCTGCTGCTGATGATGATGCTGATGATGATGATGATGTTGATGTTGATGTTGTTGTTGATGCTGATGATGCTGTTAATGATGATGACGATGATGATGATGCTGATGCTGATGCTGATGATGCTGATGATGATGCAGATGATGATTATTATGATGATGAT